GTTATGCTAAATCATGTGGCACTTTGGCTCTGCTATGATATGGTGTCCAGGTGTTTAGACCAACATAAGTCTAGATGTTTCTGGGAAGGTTATTTTTAGACGTGATTATTATCTAAATCTATAACCTATGAGAAAAGCAGATGACCCTCCATCATATGAGTGGTCCTCAATGGATCAGTTAAGGGACTTCACAGAAAAGACTAAGGAGCTCCAAAGAGGAAGGAATTCTGCCCTCCAGACTCCCTTCATGTTTAAGACTGCATCATCCACTCTTGTTGCAATTTTCAGTCTGTTATACTAAACTACGTGTGTGTGTGTGTGTGTGTGTGTGTGTGTGTCTGTGTTTAATTTGAGAAAGGGTGCATGTGCTTGCCAGTGTGAAAAAGGGAACTAGAAAGAGAAGAGGGTGAGGAAGCATCTATTCCATGGGAAATGGTCACATGGTAATACATTCTCCAACATTCCTCCTCACTTTGGGAATTTTTTAAAAAAATTTATGATTTCTTATTTACATTCAATCATTGAACAGCTTGTTTAACTAAACTATATTGGCCTAAAATGGATGCTGTACTCACACTTGGTTTCCTATGGAAAAGCCGAAATCTTACATATTAGGCGCTTTTATTTTTGAGAGGTTTTCGCTACAAGGGTGCATGTGCTCGCCAGACAGACAGAGAGAGACATAGAGACAGAAAGCGAGGAATCATTCCCCAGAGGGGATGGTCATGCCGCAGGCCCTTCTCCTCCATTCTCCTCTCGGGATCTTGGGCACGCATGCACACGTGCCCGGCATGAGTTTTAAGCCACCGTGTCCGGGACGCAAACCGCGGTTGACTAGGTGGGAGTCCAGCAACATAGTCATTACGCTAACTGCTGGTTCCCCATATTAGGCTGTTTTTATGAGCTGGGTACTAAGTTACAGCCAATCACACTAGCCCCACTTCAGTCAATCACAGAAAGCCCCTATTTTAGGCTGTTCCAAGTGCCTATGATCCAGCTGTAACCAGTCCAATGATTTCTCTACCTCACTGCCTCACTTGCTTTTCTGTACATCACTTTCCTTTTCTGTAAGCTGATATACCCCATGACTACATGACTACCTGGCTGGCTGGAGTCTCTTGGAAGTCCTCTTTTGGGAGACTGCCCAATTTAAACTGGCCTCTATTTATTTAAATAAACTCCATTAAATTATGGTTTGTCTAAAATGTTGTTTTTATCAATCTCTAGATGGCACTTTGCGGCTTTTCAAAGTATGCATGTAGAGCATGACAGTCAAGTCAAGGACATTACCCTTTTCAGAGGACTTTACATTTTGTGTCTGGTAAGTGATTCTTCCCTGAGCCTTCCCACCGTCTACTATACACTTCCCTCCCTTATAGCCTCTGGTATCTACCCTTGTCCTCCTTACTCTTAGATCTTTGGATTTTTCAGTCTCTGCCATAGAGTACAGACATTTGGTGTGTGTTGAGTGGAAATAGATTTATCTTTCATAGTCTTACTTGGCTTAGCTTAAATCTTCTATATTCATGCACTTTGAATCAAATGACGTGGTCTCATTCTTCTTTAGGCCTGAGTAATATTCCGTAGCATATGCCCCCTTTTTTTTCAATCTGGTCTTTAGTTCCTGGGTACTTAGGTTGGTTTCATGTTTTAGCAATTATAAATAACGCTACAGTAAAGTATGGTACAGTGATGTGTAAGTGTCTTTCCAACGGAGTATGTTCCTTTCCCTTGTTTAAATACCAAGGAGTGCTTTCATGGTCAAGACTAAAACGTCAGCTCTTTTCAGCGTTTCGAGCCTGGAACAGGTTACTTTCATTCATTCAAAACGTGAATGCTTCTTTCTAACAAGACACTAAATATGAAAGGGAAATCGTAGACGTATCGTGCTGTCAGGGACATCAAGCCTAATTCATGCCTAGAGAATATACAAAAGCATCTTAAAGCAGGATCAGCACCATTCTGTAAGGTCACACAGTGAATATGTTTGACTCTATGGGGAGTGAAATATTTCCAGTAGTACTGGTGCTGACCATCATTTTATCATGATACTACCACTGACACTCACTTGATTGCAAGATGTACACAAATAGTGATCAGTCACTTACAAGAAGGCATTTCTAGAAAAGTCAGAGGGGTGAGATTTTGCCATACAGGAAAGATAAAATGAGAATTACTGAAGGTCACTTGGAGTGGAGCTTTTTATTTTTATTATTATTACTTTATAAAAATAATTATTTTATTTTTAAATTTTTTTCAATTTTCCATAGGTCAGCTATAATCACCATAGAGAGAGACAAAGAGAGAGAGATATGGGTCAGTACATGAGACCTTTGTTGGCAATGGTGACGACCTAAAAATGTGTCTCCACGGGACAGGGCTCCCACTCCGAGTGAGCCTCCTCGCCACGCTCTCATCTGGTAGCTGCTGAACTCAGTGTGTGCAGGGTTGCTCCAAGTGCAACCTCCTACAGCTTGTCTTGTCTTAATTCCACGTCATGTGACCTGCTATCCTAAGGTCACATGATAAGGACACAGAGAAGATACAGATGTCTGAACTTTGAGGCTGTGTTCTTTACCAGTTTTGTTTGTCTCCATTTATATACACGCATGCGCATAAGAACAGTCCACTAGACCTCAGAACAGTGAGCTGTGGGTTTCAGAGCCTCCCGTTCCCTTACTCTGTAACTGGGTAAATACGAGTCTGGGCCATGGCTACAGTGGGACTATGTGATTCAAGACCACATGATACATAGGTAGGCCTTAATATGTGAGAGAACCCAAGGCAGAGGAGGTCTAGGACAGCCCTGGGGAGTCCACAACCATCCTCTGATGGCAGTGGGGCCAGGTCTGGGCCTCTGAGAGGAGTCAAGTACCATGTCCTGCTGCTGGCGTGGGAGGTGTTCTGTCCCTCCACTGCCTCCTACTCCTGCCCCAGTCTACTTCCTCAGAAGAGACCCAGCTATACGACCATCAGTGATCATTCAAAAGTGCTCAGAAAAGTTATCACAATGCACCTTACTTCTCTACATACAGCTGGCTTGCAAGTGTCCTGGCTGGAATCTCATGGGAGTGGAAAACAGCAGGCCTCCTGGGGACAGTGTGGTCAGAAAGACCCCACCCAGGCCATTTTGATTAAATGACACCTAGACCCTTCTAAACAGAGTCGATATATGAGGGAGACATGTAGTCTAGGGTGTCCAATCTCTCTCAGGTCAAAGATTTCTGAGAGAAAACTGGAGGTTTGCCCAGATCTACCAGACAGCCCAGAAGCCCACGTGGGGATCGCACTCTCCTCTCCTCAGAAACCTGTCCCTTACCATGGGGAATGAGAGTGCTGGAGTGAAAGAAGGTGAGGCCAAGGCTGTTCTTAAGGAACAGAGCAGCTTACATTCCAGACCCCAAGAAGCCTCCCCAGAGCTGTTAGCATCAAAGCGTCTTGAAATCACTGCTCCCAAGCACTTAGCTGAGTGTTTCAAAGAAAAATAGGAACTGTATTCCAAGTGTTCTAAGGAGGTAGCCAGCATGTGCTAAATGCCCAGCCAGCATGTGGCTATAGGACACAGGGGAAGCCTGTACCCCCGTGGCTATTCAAAAGGCATCTGCCATAAGTGAATGACCAGGACTTGGCCAAATCTTCATGGACACATCAGAGCAACAAGGCCCAGACAAAGGATACTGTAGGCAGGCAAATCATGTGGTTAGGGTTCAATGCTATGGACCCAACAGAGAGACAAAGGAAAATGGGAAAGTATACTCCCTGGGAGACTGGGCTGTCCTCATGCTCCCTCTGCTTTGTTGTTTGTTTTTGATGATTACAGAGGCCACAATGCTCCTGACCACTGAGACCAGGGCAGCTGGGAAGGGTAAGGTTGAGTGAGGATCTTCCAGGGCTCCAGTGACTGCTCCAATGCTGACTTGACCTCCCAAGTTAAACCTTATAAAGGTAGGTAGAGTGGATGCTGTCCCCACTTTCTCACAACAAGTGTTGGGGAGAACACATTATCGCCCCCCTCCCCCATTTTTTCCTCACTCTCCTCCATGAACCAATAAAACACAGGAGCTTGGGAAAAGAAAAGGAAACCTCAGAGGAAGGAGGAAAAAATTTCTCTCTGTTCACTACACATGGCACCTTGATTGTTTCTGCCTCTAGCAGCGGGATGCAGCCTTGCTGGAAGGCTCAGCCTTAACTCACCTCCAACTACCTGCAGCTTCTGGGGAGGGCCCACCCCATCCAAGGGACACCCATACCCACAAGTTCTATGCACAGGCAGTGGAGGCTCTGGGAGTTTAGCCTAAACATGGTCCCCTTGGTGGTGGCCTGTGGAGGTTACTCAGGCCCATAGATAGAGGAAGCCCCTTCTGCACAGCCAGCTCCCCACCGGCACATGCTCCTTTGGGCTTCACAGGCAGCTGAGGAGGTTGTGCTGGTAGGCTTCTGGTGGCTGCTTTGTGGGAAGGGTCAACAAATGAGAACAGCTGTCATCCTGCCCCTCCTGTGCTCAGGAGAACATAGGGACATCCTCCTGAGGTCCTTCACCCTCTGCCTGCCTTCATCCACCCAGAGATGGAGGGCATGTTTATTCATGTTCGGGGCCACTGGTTAGTGTGAAACGTTATTTCTGCTCTGATTTTCTCTGTGGACACCCTCCCCATACCACAAGACCTTTGTCTGAAAAGCCTTCTCCTCCAGCACTGAACACCCTACTCTATCACATAACCTCCTCCCAGTCAGTTCCCAAGGAAGCTCCCACCTGATTCCCATGATGCTCTGCTCAGACTCCCAGAAGACCTTCAGTCACTCCCATCTTGTTTATTCATCAAACCCTTCTTCCTCCTACAGCTACCAACCAGGTACCTTCCCAACAGTGACAACAATACCACCATCAACAAGGGCAATCAAAGTCCTTGCAAGTTCATTGAGATGCCACAGAACATGCAGACGCTTCCCATTAGTTCTCTCTTGAATGTCCTGTTTTCTGAGGTCAATGCTTCAATTAATCCTTTTCACAGATGGTCAAACTGAGGCTAATTAAGAACTGACCCACAATGGCACCGAGTTGAGCCCCTCTTCCAAGTCTGGGCTAGGGCAGGGCAGCTAGGGGGCCAGGAGGTACCAGTCTGAGAACTGCTATTGAAGAGAGGGATGCCAACTCTTGGGAGTACAAAACTGATGAGAGGAACCCTCTCCCCTCACAGAGGGTGCTGCCAGTACTCACACGTTTACATTGAGTCTTAAGAATTTGCAGCAGCCTGAGGTCTACCATAGGACTTCCAGTCCCCTCCAATAGGAGGGGATGAGAAGGGGACAGAGCCCTGCTCCTCTGCAGTGAAAGATAAGTAAAAGAAATCTGACTGCCCAAGGCACCTGGTCCCTTTCCAGCCTCTCAAGAGGAGAAGTCTCTTTGACATCTCTCCCAGGTCCTGTACCCAAAGAGTGGACATATGAGAACTGCATTTGTGTTGATGAAACTGGAAATGCTTGCTCAGGCTTGCCTAGAGGCACCTCCCAGCACCCTTGGAGACCCGTCCTTGGTGCTTGCTGGCCTTGTATTCCTGGTGGCCCTTCTACTAAAAGAGGCTGATAACCTGGATGACAACCATGATGGTGGCAGTGTGGATGGTCGGCGTGTATGCCAGGCTGCAGGGGTGCTGGCCCTCAGCACTTCCCAAGGTTCTGCTGGCCCAAGGTGAACCACATGGGTGTAGCTGGCAGCTCTGAGCCAGGCGGATGGCCCTGATGTGGCTATGGAAAATGAGGGTCTTGTCCTTGAAAGACGACAGATGACTGGTAGCCTCATGTTCAGAATGGCCACTTTGGGACCCTAGTGTAGGTACAGGGGTCCTTCAGGAAGTGGTAGCCATGGCAGATGGTGTCATGGAAGGTCCAGGAGTGGGGAAGCCAGATGAGTCTAGAGAGCTCCACGGCACAGCCAGCAGTGGGATGTGCAGGCTGGACAGTGCCAGGCTGCCCATGTGCCAGTGCACCCTCTCTGCAATGAGGCAGCAACTCTGTGTGTGCCGGTCTGAATGCTGTCATCAAATTGCCAATGTGACCACTATGAAAAATGACAGTTCAAATTAGATGCTATTTACATCCAGGTTGCTGCTAGATGCTACAAGGATGGTGTTCTGAATTGTTGCAGATTTGCAGAAGCCCAGATCCAGAAGCACCCCGTCTAGCCCCAACTGCAGCTTCAGGAAGGTTGGCACCTGACATGGAGCTGCTGAGGCACATGGTAGGTACCAGGTTCTGTAGCTCTGTCCTGTGCCTTTGGGGTGGGAAGTCAGAGTGAAGATGGGCAAGTCCAGGGCAGGGCAGAAGAGCCCAAGGGGAGTTTATTGGAGGGTTAGTGGGTGCACCTTCCAGGGGAAGCACTAAACCTGGATTCCCCACCCTGATCTCCAGTATCCAACACCAACCCTCCTCATGACTATGGCTCTGGTTTCCAGGCTCCAGACCCTGCAGTTCTTCAATCTCCCTACTGGCTTGACTTTTTCCCAGTTCTCAGGGCTTATCTCCAGGCTCTTATCTCCAGACACCGCAGTTCTCCTGGTTCACAGAAAGCAGCGTGGTCCCCAAAAGACAGAAGCTGGCTTGACCCAAGCAGCACCAGGTTAGTCTCTGGTGCCCAGTGAAGTGCCTTACACCGGGTAGTCCTTGCCTGCTCACCTCCCTGGCTCACAATCTGCTTCCTCTGCTTTCCCTCTCTATGAGCCCTGGCTCTGCACACCTCCTGCCTTGCTGCACCCTCCAGTTCCTCAGGCCTGCACTGAGCCATGGCCAGCCTGCATATTCACTTTATACCTCCTAAAATGATGGGGCTAGAGAAAAGTGGACAAAATACATGAGTGGACATTTCATGGATGAGAAGTTCTAAAGTCCAGAGAATTTGCAAAGATGTTCATCTGATCAGTAACCAGGAAAACACTAAGAAACAAGATACATTTCCCTATGCGTGCAAATAGTAAAGATGAATGCCTGTGCCCCGAGCAGCTGCAGAGTGCCTTCCCCGGAGGTCCTTCCTGGAATCCCTCCTCAGTGAGGCTGTCCCCAGCCACAAGCCCCAGCACTTTGTTCTCACATTTTTAGGTGATCTTCCTCTTTTGCTTTCATCACCAATACTCTATGTATTTCTGGCTTATTTACTGTCTGTCAGCTCCTACAGAAAGGTCAACTCCGTGATGACTAGAATTTCTGTCTGCTCAGTCACTGCAACAGGTTTCACACATAGCTGGGCACATAGTAAATGCTCACTCAGTATCTGTTGGCAACTGCAGAACGAGAAATTGCCCACAGGCTTAGATCAATAGGCAAAGTCTGTCTTGAAAATAAAAATATTTCCAGATTCAAACACCTGACTTTTGAATGACTTGAAATATCTCTTTTTGAAGATAGAATTTTGCTTGCTATGAAAGTTACTCAGGTCCAAGTGGCAAGTACTTCTTAACAACGGGTAATTGTAACTCCTCCAGACCACATATAAAGGCATGAGCCAAGGCCCTTTTTTTGTAGCGGTTGAGTGTGTGAGCTGTGGCCAGCTCCCATTCTTTCCCTCTCATGTCTGTGTGTGCTTCTCACAGTGACAGTGACTGCTGGACATACTCCCTCCCTAGGGATACTTGGGCTGGGGATCTACCAAATTGGGACCTGCTCTGTACAGGTGCCATCCATAAGAGGAGGAGCCCTGCAGCAGGACCTCCACACCAACTAACTACGCAACACCTGGAGCTCCAAAAAGCAGCTCCATAGTGCTGGGCCTTGCACACGGCCTGCAGAGCACACGGGACGTGGGGGCGCACATGCAGAGCAGGCTCACTGCGCACCGTGCATGGGCGTGGGTTCTGAACGTTTGACTCGGTCTGTTTCAGGAGTCAGCCTTTGACTATGAACCTAAACTTGAGAGCAAGAATGTTCTTGGGATTCTCAAAAGTCTTCAGATTTAACCACCTGTTATGTAATCATCACCCCTATAAAATTCAAGAAAATTTTCAACTGCATAAAAAAACCATGTACCCATTAGTAGCACATTATTTGGGACACATTATCAGAAAATGAGAGTCTCTGATCCCTTGGAGATCTAGTGGGGGCTATATGTCAACACATGTGATACATGTGTGTATACACACACATACACATATATACACACACACATATAGAATATAAAATATAAATTATATACAAATACGTAAGACAGTGACAAGGGCTATAGAGAAACATGTAAAAGAATAAGGGAAAAATAAAGAGGAAGGAACTATTCTGCTTAGGTAGGCAGGGAAGCTTTCTTTGCTAAGGTGCAGACCTAAGCAAATCTGAGGCATTTAAGCCAGGCAGAGCTCAGGGTAAAGAGCTTCCAGCTGAGGTAATAACCACGCAACGTCCCTGAGGCAGACCACCACTTGGTTTGTTCAAAAAAGACCAAGAAGCCAGTAGTGTGGCCAGAGCAGGATAAGCAGATGAGAAGGATATTGGAGATAAAGCTACAGAAGTGGAAGGAAGAGCATATGGAAGGTATTCAGAAGCCATTACGGGGTCTTTTCTGAGTTAAAGAAAAAAACTTCCTGAGCTGGCCCCACACCCTAGTGGCTATGGGAGTCAAGAGACCATGTGTCTAACCACGGTTCTGATCTCTGCCCCAGTATCAGATGCATGTGTGTGTGTGCGCCCCAAATTTGGAGAGAGTGGGGAAATGGAGAGGGGGTTGTTGCATGACCATGCCCCAAAGGATCTCTCTCTCTCTCTCTCCTCTCCATCTAACAAATGCTCACACCATTTGGGAAAATAAATAAATAAATAAAAATCACAAATATACAAACAAGCGTAAAATATGAAACATTTAGAGAAAAGAAGAAAGACTTCAGAATATAAGATCTGATGAAGAGTTCTTTTTGTTTTGAGAGGTTTTTTTTTTTTTGTTTTGTTTTTTTTTGCAATAGGGCACGTGCGCTCGCCAGACAGAGAGAGAGAGACAGAGAGATAGAAAGTGAGAAATCACCCCCCAGGGGGGATGGCCACGCCGCAATCCCTTCTCCATTCTCCTCTCGGGATCTTGGGCATGCACGCACACGCACCTGGCGTGTGTTTTAAGCCACCGGGTCCGGGACGCGAACCGCGGTCAACTACGTGGGAGTCCAGCAACATAGCCATTACGC